CCACATAATACGCCACACAGATGATGAAGATCAGCCAGAGGGAGACCGAGAAGTCCTTGACGTCCGTCAGCTTGATGACTTCACCTGCGCGCACACACAGACACACACACACTCTTAACTCCAGCTTCTAGTGTATGTGTGTGTGTGCGGTGTTGATCATCTCACCAGTTTTGCCCTGCTCTTTATTGAGGATCCTCTCAGCCCGTTTGTCCAGAAAGCCCAAAACCAGAGCGCAGATGAGAGAGAAGAGACACGTGGACGCCGCTGAGAATCAACACACACACATCAGACAGCACATTACTAGACACAACACTGCATATCCTGTGATGTGACTGTTGCAGACGCACACGTTGCAGCATCAATGCTGAAACCATATATTGTGCAGGCCTACCTAAAACCCTTTTATTAATATAATTTCTGCTCAAGTCTCCAGCACCTCCATAAAATCATACATAAATGTAATATATCATTATAATTTAACAAAAACCTTCTGAAATCACATTAAAAACCTGCTGAAGGTGATAAATATCAGTGTGTGAGAATGTGCTTTACTTGTAACCTGGAGTTTGTGTAACACATTTACAGTTAAAGTCAAAAGTTTTCGCCCTCCTGTGAATACTTGTATCGTGTAAAACAGGGTGATGTGTTTGAGCATGAGGATTGAAACACTCTTATCTGGCATTAAATCAGAAATATGAGAGAGGAACAGAAACACTAGTGTGTGCTTGAGCTGACAGAAGTTTGACACGGACAGAAGAAGTAAAAGCAGAAGTGAAACATGAGCACACGACTGACTGTAACAGCAGCTGGTGTGTGTTTATTACTGCACAGATTACATTCACAGCTCCACAGGTGCACTATAAGACTAAAAGTATTTTTTCTGTATATTTATAAATTTTATTTTACTTATTTAATGTAAACTTTAATTTAATTTATGTAATTAGTTACATTTATTTGATTTATTTTTTCATTTTCTTTCATTTCTAATTTAAGTTCTTTATTTATTTGATTTATTTCATTTAATGTATTTCTTGAATTTCTTGATTTCTTTATTTGTTTTATTTAAATTCTTTAATTGATTTAATTAATTTCTTTACTTGTTTCATTTATTAAATTTTATTATTTCTTTAATTTCTTAATTAAGTAAATCATTTCATTTCTTTAATTGTTATTTTGTTTCTTAATTATTTTCTTAATTTTTTATTTCTTAATTAATTTTATTTCATTTATTTTATTAATTTCTTAATTAATTTCTTAATTGATTTGATTTCTTTAATTTCTTTATTTACATTCTTAATTTATTTCTTAATTAATTTCTTATTTTTTATTTCTTAATTAATTTTCATTTTATTTCTTTAATTTATTTTTAATTTCTTAATTAGTTTCCTAATTTATTAACTTTTTTTCTATTTATTAATTAATTAATTACATTAATTTCATTAATTCCTAATTAATTGATTTGATTTCTTTTTATTTCTTTATTTACATTCTTAATTAATTAATTTAATTTCTTTAATTAACTTATTCAATTTCTTGATTAATTATTTTCTTTAATTTATTTCTTTAATTTCCTAATTTCTAAATGTATTTATTTAATTTCTTTAATTAATTTCTTTAGTTTCTTAATTAATTAATTTATTTAATTTCTTAATTAATTAATTAATTTTCTTTCATTTCTTAATTTATGTAATTTTGTAATTAATTAATTAATTTATTTATTTATTTTCTTTAATTTCTTAATTATTTTTTTAATTCATTTAATTTATTTATTTACTTTCTTGATTAAATTAATTAACTTATTTATTTATTTTATTTTTTATTTCCTTACTATTATTTACTAAACTTGAGGGAGTGTACATAGTAAGTAAACAATCATTTTTAGGTGAACTGTGCCTTTAAATCCTAAAAATGAACATTAACCATTGATAATATAAATTCTGTAACATTTGGGGGTCTCACCGATCATGAGTGTTATCCCGAGTGTAGTGGGTCCTGCAGAGCCCATGCTCATCTGAATACGGCCGTACACCCAACCAATCACATTCATGTTGACCGTGCTGCCCTGAACACACACGCAAACACAGACAAGACATATTTAAAGACCACCTATTATGCTAAAATCACTTCCATAAGGGGTTTAAGCCCAGTTGTGTGTCAGCAGTGTGTGAATATCTCCAGCCTCTAATGGTCATCATGATTAACTGCATTGTTTATAGTCAGACTTAATAAGAACAGTCTGCAGAAACACTTTGATTGACATTCTCCCTTTGTATGATGTCATCAGAGGGGAAAAGCCCCGCCCACTAGTGACCATCTCTCCCTCATTAGCATAGGACGTTAGTCTTGTTTTTTAATCTGCCACTATGCTGACACACAGGCATCTGTAGCTCCTCCCTCTTCTGAAAAGAGCACAATCTCATTTGCATTTTAAAGCGACAGTCACCAAAACAGCACAGTTAGGATCAAAGCCTCAAAGGGGCCGTTTCAGAGAGCTAGAGAGCATTATCTGTGTGCTATTTTGAGCTGAAACTTCACACACACACACTAGAGACACTTTTACATCTTGTATAAAGCGGCATAATTGTGTAACACACACACACAGTGCTTACCAGTCTGGCCATGCTGAGCTGCAGGCCGAACACCAGGTTGAGCTCTTTCCCTTTAAACCAGTTGACCGCATACGTGTTCTGAGCCACAGCCAGAGACTCGCCACCGATCCTGAACACAGCAGATGATCAACGCTCAACACACAAACAATGAAACCCCTACAACACAACCCACGCTGCTCACCCGAACACAAAGCGGCCCACGTTCATCAGCCAGAAGTGATTGGCCAGAGCGCCGGCGGCGAATATGATCTGAAAACAAGAGCAGGGTCAGGATTCACACACGGAGGAAGAGTTTTAAAATCTAAACACCACAGCAGAAGGACTGCAGGTAACATGAGTCAGCACTGTAGACTACTGAAAGCAGTAAGGACTGTAAATCTGCCTATAATGACGGTTATCCAGCTGAATATATGCAAGGAACGGAAACTTTTA